AAAAATTTAAAAATACTATTATTAGATAGATCTTAATATGACAAATCTAATAAACTTTATTTCATCTTTTTATAATCTTTAGATATTAAAATATTATAATTTTTTTATAATATTTTATAGCCAATTTATACCTACGCTTTAAGGGATAAAATAATAATATTTTTAAATATTTAATATTTTTATTCTAATATTTTATTATTATAGCGTTAAATGGGTAGACAATACTTCAAATGGAATTAATTTATAATTATATTATTATAACTGATATTCAGATGAAATACTTAATTAGTTTACATAATTATTTATCAGATTCACATACAAGTGAATTTTTAACAAATGAAATTTCTAATATTATTGAGCAGCTTAGTAATGATAAATTTGTTATAGTTATCATAGATAATGCTTCTAATTGTCAAAATGCAAGACAGAATTTTCAACAAACATATTTACATATATGGAATATATATTGTATAGCTCATGTAATTAATCTAATTGCATCTGATTTGGTTAAATTTAAGGATATTATAAAATTTATTATTGAATGTGATAAAATTAATTGATATTTTAATATATCATATGTCAATAATTCTCTTTTAAAATAAGGATTTACTAATATGAAAATTAAAAGTGATAAATTATAAAATTAGGTAAAAACACGTTAGGAATCTTTATTTATGATAACAGATGCTTTATTAAAAGCTCAACCAGTATTTGATTGGATAAGTAAAATTTAATATTATAATTAATTAAATAAAATTAAAATTAATTTATTTAATTTTATTAATTTATTAGATCTTAAATAAACATTCAGAATCTATTACAAATCAGAATATTACTATTTTATTGGAAGATGAATCATTTTTTTTTATATGTTAATTAATTCATTCTATATAGAAGCTAATAAAAGAATATATAAATCTTTTAGAGATAAATGAAGCCACTTTATCTGATTGTTTTATTCATCTTATCAAATTGACTTGTATAATATATTGATTACCAAGTATAAGTATCTTTAAACTTTTTGTTATTAAAATTTTTAATCATCAATTTGATAAATTTTTACATTCTCTTTATATTTTGATTTATTATCTTCATCTATATTATTGAGGTATTTAAATATTATAATATAATTAAATAATATATATTAGTTTTATAATTAATAATTTTTTTATGTAAACAAAGGTTTAAAAAATGATGCTTGTCATAAAGCTTCTTTAACTGCAATTGAAATATAGTAGAATCTTAGTCATATATAAAAAGAAAGTGAAGAATTAATAGCACAACTTCATAGATTTAAATTAAGGCTTTCTTCTTTTGAACTTCCTTATGTTCTTAATCTTAAATCTTCTAAATTATGATAAAAATCGATCAAAACACAACTATAGCATTTGACTGAGCTTGCTTATCAAATTTTTTCTATTAATTCAACTCAAGTAAATTGTGAAAGAAATTTTTCAATTCTTAGTTGGATGTTAGGTGAAAATAGAACTAATTTAACTTTGAATAAACTTGAAGCTATGACTAAAATTTGATCTTATTATTTAAATAATATTTAAAAGAAATTGAATTATGTTGGAAAAGATCTTATTAAAAGTGAATTAAAAGAAAGTATTAATATCAATTTTATTAATAATATTATTAGTTTGGAAGATGAAACAAATACTAATGATAACAATTCAGAGTTAACTTTACTTTCACAATATTATTCTAATTTTAAACTGGATATTGATGATATTGTTGATTTAACAATTCATATTAGTGATATTAATGAAGAAAATAGCTCTGATACTATTTTAGCATAAGTAGAACCTTTGGATCTGGCTGATTTGATTTACATATATTAAACGAATTTTTAGCAAATAGTAAATTTTAATTATTTTAATATTATACATTATATATATATTATAGTTATTAATAGTTTATAATAGTTTTACAATAATAAATGCATATTTTTTCTAAATAAATTTATAAATTTCACATGTTCAATTTATTGATCATTCAAATCAATAATGATTTACATATTAATTAGCATATAAACATAATTTATTAATATCAGCTTACTATTATCTTACTAATACTTTACTACCTTACAACCTTACTACCTTATTATCTTACTACCACATACTTATATATAGCAAAAAATACTTAAAGGTAATATTTCTTCTATGGCATTGATGTATGCTGTCACTGAGTTTATTTCATTTATCTTAACATCTAAGTTAAAAGACTGCGGCAGCTGATTCTATACATTAGAGTTTTTGACCTTAGGATTTTTTCTAAATCTTATAGGTATCCGTTATACTTGAATCAATTCAGCAATTTATCACGTCTTAGAATTTAAGATATGTTAGTCAAATTCGTAATGACGAATTTAATAACAAGTTAGTGTAGTGTATTATAACAATTCTAGGTGAAGAATAATATTGAAGGGAAAAGTAGTTTGTATAGATTTTAAATTGATTCCTTTATTTATAACTTGAAACTTGCAAAAGAGTTAATAAACTTGCAGAGAAGTTAATTTACAACTTAAGTAAAAAGCTATTCTATTTATACAAAATTAATTTGCTATGGCTAATTACTTGCTATGATATAAATTAACTAAATATAGATATATATTTCAAAAAATATAATAAAATAATAAAAATAATATAAACTATAAAAATAATAAAAGAAATTAAATAAATTACAGACTAAAGATTGCGCTGCAACTAGTTGCAACTATGTGATACTTATTTGTCATCAGTTGCAACTAGTTGCAACCCTGTAATGCTTATTTGTCACCGGTTGCAACCAGTTGCAACGCTATCTTTATTACAGACGTTAAAGAAATTACAGGCAAAACTGAGTAAATAGAATAAACAGACTATATAGAAAATACAGAGGAAACAGACAAAACAAAAATTATTGTAAATCCTTCAAATTAAATAATTTAGCCTAATTTTCCAATGTAATACGTCAGTTAATCAAGATCTTCCTTAATATGATCTACATAAAATTAAATCTAATGTTTTTATAAATCATTTTTTTAAGGTAAATTTTCAATACTGACAATGCTGTATTCAGTAACTACTTTAAGAAATGTTTGCAACCCTAGCTATAAGGCTATAGTGAAGATTTTAAGAGATTTGATTAGGCAATTATTATATTTATTCAAAAATTCGTTATATCAAGAATTTTTTATATCAAGACTTAACTGTATTACTAAATTTTATATACAATTTTTTAAACTTATTACATTTTTATTATATTATAATTTCTAAATAAGTAATTAATTATAATAATATATAAATTAAAATAAATATAAAAAATAATGAATATATTAATTATTTAATATAAATAAGATTTAATTTAATTAATTTAATATGATTTATAAATTTAAAATAAAAAGAATTATAATAATCTTTATTATTAATATTATAAATACAGTTACTTATATTAAATTTTTTATATAAAGAATAAAATAAAGAAATGACAATATTTTTATTTGTTTATTTATAATTGCTAATATAAATAAAATAAAGTTTTAGGATTTATTAAATAAATAAATTTATTTATTATATTTGCATTTGCAATATCTTTGTTTATATAATATTAGATAATTTTACATTTTTAATTTATATAAATTTTCTAAATATTACTTTTAATTTATCTAGCAAAATAAATCAATACATAAGAAATAATAATAATTTTAAAATATTATAAGTTTTAACAAATTTACTATCTTAACATATCCTAAAATAATATACATAAAAAAAAAAAAAAACAAACAAATATATAAATAAAACTACAATAATTTTTAAGTGTATATACTAAAATAATATCCCACATTATCCCACACATATAAATAAAAATAATATAATTATATTAAACGAAAAAAACTTTTTTTTAAAAAAAAAATAAAAAAAAAAATAAAAATAATATGTATTTATGTATATGATTGGATTTTTTTTATAGTTTACACCCTTTTTTTTATATTTTTTTATAATTAATCTAAGATTATACTTCTATGCATTTTATGCATTTACAACCGTTAATCGTCTTTTAGGTATTGTCATAACAACGACTTCTCTATTATACATATCTTGTTCTAATTGAGCCTGTTCAGCTGCTTCATCCATATCATCATCTTCTTCGCTTCTAACATTTCTCATCCTATCAGAAGGAGATTGTGGTGACGATATTGTAGCACCACCACTACTATTAATATTATATCCTTCAAAATCGTATTTTTTCATTTCGTTAATTTCACCTTTACCGTAACCAATCTCATGCATTATTAATACAAGTAAACTGTTTCTACCCTTTGGATATCCATACCAGGCTGCAATAATCCAAATTAAATAAATGATTACCATAAATCCAATAAATGCATAAAAATATAATGAGCCTACGATCCTCGTTTTATATAATGACACTCCAATAAATATCGCTGTAAACACTAAAATCAATTGTGCGATTATATGATGAGCATGTTTTGTTTTTATTGCAAATGAAGATGATGCTGGATGTGATTGATCTGGAATTGATGGGATTGGTCGCGCGTCTAATCCTCGTCTACTTGAATTCGTTATAGCAGAACTTTGTGATGTTATTGTTGAGGTTGGACCATTTTGTAAACTATCGTTCCTTGACCCTTGTGATGACATTGTTGGATGACTTTCAACCATCGTAACACCTTTTCTCGCTTCCATCCAATTATTAGAAGGTTTAACCGTTGGTGGAACTTCTCCCGATGCTAATCGATTTCCTGGTCTAGAAACTTCAAATGATTTAACCGACTTTGAATTTGATTCTGAATTTCGCCAATTAAAACATCCTGATCCTCCAACTTTTCTATCATGATCTGAATCTAAATCATTATTTGAAATTGAATCTGACTCATACTTTTTACTTACGCATAATGATGTAATGGCCATTATAGGTACAAATATATACAATAATATTAATAACACTAATCCTATTAATCCATGCGATGTAACAAAATGATGGGAGGATTTTGGAATGTCCTGAAATGCTATTGCAAATCCATAAAATGCCGTTGCGTATGAAGCTGCTATAAATATTGTGTATAGCATTGCTATTGTAAATTTCTGATTTGATCCATAACCAAATCTTATAACTGATGCTGATAATGGCAATAATAAATAACTTAATGTTGAAAACTGCACATGACCTTTTGGAGTTGACTTTGAGAAATCATACGAATCACCTGATTTATTATCGCCATCTCCAGAATTAGGCACTTTAACATCTTGAATACATGAAAGAAATTCCATCGGTGATGATTTCGCTGCATCTCCTGAAGTAGCATTTGTGTATAATCTCAATAACCAAAGATCATTTAAATTGGATTTGTTCCCATCTAAACCTTCTCCTCCGAATAATAAAATATCCGTAGCTGCAATTCCGGCTGCACCAATCGGTACTGGAATAGGAATCAATTGAGCTCCAGCTCTTTGAGGTGGAAATCCGGAAACTGGATCTCTTTCCGGAAGAACACGAACCCAATTTCCCAAATCAGCATCTAACACACCGATTTCACCATCTGATCCAACAGATTTTCCTTCAGGTGAACTTCCACCATAAACAATTGCTTGATTTGGGTAAGTGATAGCAGGATTACTGTTCATGGACATGGCAGCTCCTGATCTTGCTCCCAGACAAGAATTCTTTTTGCTCCATAAAGGTGTTGCACTAGTTGGAATTTGTCCATTGAGATAATTACTTCCCAAATTCAAAGAATAAGCATCAGATTTTGCACACTTTCCTTCGAGATTGTCACATCCTCCATACATTACCAATCTTTTATTTGGTAATATAGTACCTGCAACTGAATTACGTCCCGTAGGAATTTCTCCATCAACAGGAACTTTATACCAAGTAGCTGTTAGGGTCATCAAATTTGGAATTAACGTTCCAGTTAAAACAAGAGCATAAAGATCAGTAAAAAAATGGGTTCCATTTGTTCCATGACTTGCCCATAGTGTATTTTTTTCTTCCGTTTGAGATGGTGTTGCCAATGTAACATCAATTCCACCAAAACTACCATACATTGGCGGAATTTCTCCGGTAACATTTTCAACTTTAGTCCATTGTTTATAATTAAAATCAAATGCCCAAACATCATTATAAAGCATGTTTCCAGATCCTACACCACAAGCAATAATAAACGCATTCCGATAACTTGAAGATTTATCAACTCCAAAAATCATATTTGACCTTGCTTCCGGATTAAGTTGATTAGATGTAGGTAATCCATAATCGGCAGGTCTCTTCCACGAATTTTCATTGAAATCAATTATATATGTTATTCCAGATTTACCCCCACTCGGTGTTCTATTAATAAATAAATAAATTAATTAAATAAATAAAATCCAAGGCACTTGACTAAGCCACAATTTTTATATGATAATAAATTAAATTTTAATTCATTACGAAATAAATACTTACGTTCCACCGAAAATTATTACTAAATTGCTCTCTTTAGAATATCCAAAAGCGAAATCTTTCAATCCAGGCGGTGCAGAACCAGATAATTTACTTTTCAAATCAGTCCATTGCATAAAAGGTACAGAAATAGTTCCATCTGAATTTATTTGTTGGCAATATACTCCAAATGAATTTAAATTGCAAATAATAAGACAACATATTAAATATGAAAGAAATGAATGTGAAAATGACTTAATATTTAAAAGGGATACTATTTTTGAAATCGAATTCATTAATCTTTTCGTGTTATCCGGTATTCGTACCGGTTTAAGTTGTGTCATTGTTAATTTAATAACTCAACTTTTGAATATAATTGTCAAGATAGAAAGTGCTATTTGAATTAAGAAATATCCTTTTACTATGTTTGTTATAAAATCTTTTTATCTAACCGTTTCGTTCTTTTTTTTTTTTTTTACAAAAAAGAGGACACCATATAATAAATAGAAATAGCAAAAATAAATAAATAATAAAAAATAAATACAAAAAAATTGTTTATATGCGTTGCTTAAAGCTTTTTTTTTTTTGGCTGATTCGTCTTACTAAGAGAACGGTAATAACATAAGGTGTCGTGATAAATTATTGAAGTATTTTGTAAAAGCCGTTACGATATTTTTTCACTTCTTGTTTTACAACCTATACCATAAGATAATTCTACATAAAAAAATTACGTGAATAGAACAAGAAACCAAATACGAGAACAAAAACTTTATTATTTTTTCAAAGTTATTTAGTTTGGTCTTTTGAAAGGAAAAAAAAATTTCTCGTAAAAGAACAAAAATACATGTTATACTCTATTTATACTGTAATACATTAAAATTGCAAAAATAGTAAAAAAATTTCTAAAAGAATACTTTAGAGTAAACCAATTTTGTAATAATTTTTGTAGATATTGTATATAAATAAATAATTGTGTAAATATCTATTTTGAGTTGAATTAAAAAGACATTATTGATGATTTACAAATTCATAAAATAATTAAAGGAATTTCGGATACGAATATCTATCATATATATGGATATATATCTAATAAAAATTAACAATAAATTAAATTTTTTTTTTATTAATGATACCTTTACAATTTTATTATCTATATATAATCTTATTAATTTAAAAAGATTATTTAAAAATTAAATAAAATTTTATTTCTATATATAGGTAGTAATCAATAAAAAAGATAAAATTTTTTTTATTAGTTCATTTGAACTAAACTAAATAAAAATTTCAGATTCCTACTTCTTAATAACAACCTTCTATATATAAATCACATAATTTTGTAGTCAATATATTTATTAGATTAATTATTATACATTTTTGTTATATATGGATGAGACCTCAATATAGTTTGATATGGTTGATAATTTTAATATTAATTCAATTAGTAAAAAAACTGTTTATATTCAAGGAACAGGTAATGAAAAAAATCATTTATCATTATTTTAATTTGTATTACTAGTAAGAATACTAAATAAATTATACTTTAAATTAAATTATTTATAAAATTATTCCAATACTTTTATTTATATTATTATACGAGTCAATTGTGAAGTCTATTGATTGATAAATAGATTTCAACATGTATAATAAAGTTTTAAATATCTGAAAGTTAACAATTTATATTAATAATTCTAGAATTTTATTTGCATTAATAGAATTATCAAGATAAATTAACATAATCAATGTATATATTTATAAGAAAGACCAATAATTATATATTGGATTTTATATTATAGGTTTAATTAAACAAAGTTAAAGGGTAAAGGTTAATTTTATTAAATAAAGAAATTGAGATTAATATTATTTAATAATTTCAATAAGTTCTTGTTTGTAAATTTATAAAATTATAAGTAAGTAATAAACTAAAACTATTATAAAACTAATTAATTAACTATTAAATTAACTTTAATCTGCCTGTAAAATAATTAAAAACTAACTCAAAATTAACTGATAAGATTACATAAAATTCTTATTCTATTTATATAAAATTTTCAATCTACTTCTATTATTAAATTAAGTTAAAATAAAACTTAATTAACTGTGAAAACATTATATAAATATTATTAATTTAATTAATAAGTTTAGCTAAATAAACCATTTTAATTATATTAACATATTTAACTTTATTAATGATATTATTATTATTTTTATTATTTTTGTAATTTTAGCTGGTCAATCACTAATTCGTGATTAAGAAATTATAGTTTTATTTGGTAATGATTTATAAAATTAATCTTAGTCATCCTTTTGAAATATTTTACTAACTATTAATCCAATTATATTTATTGAAAAGATCTTATCAAAATAATTCTATTGATAGTATTTCTATTAAAATATAATCATTAAGTTAAAAGTTATTTTATTTATAATATAGATAGAACTAAGCTACCGCTTATATATATTTTTAAAGGAAAAAGAATAGGATGTAATGAACAAATTTCATTTAATATAATGGTTTAGTTTTAAGAAAATGGTTGGATAGATACTGAATTGATAATAAAATATATAGATTATTTTAACAATAATTAATCCAAGATCTAATTATGCTTATTTATTATTATTTAAAAAACATCTAAAATATCTATTAAAAAGATTTCATGATAGTAATGTCAACTTAGTAGTTATTTTAGGTAGTTTAACTAGTATTGTTAACTACAGTTCCCGACAAAAAGAATGGCGGAAACATATTTCGACGGTATGTACAAACTTTATTTTAATGTATATTTTTTTTTTTTATTATTTAT